GTGACTGAGGGGAGACCCCGCCGGGGGAGGGAGCAGGCGGAGGGCGAGGCGCGTGTGGCGTGCGCGGTGTTGACGACGGTGTTTTTAACCCTTAGATGGTCTCCAGCGAGCCGCTGCTGCTGCCGGTGTCACTGGAGGGCGAGTTCTCCAGTAGCATGAAGGAGATGATCGGCGGCTGTTGCGTGTGCTCCGACGAGCGGGGCTGGGCCGAGAACCCGCTCGTCTACTGCGACGGGCACGGCTGCAATGTCGCAGTGCATCAAGGTGAGCGGGCAGGCGAGGGCAGCGCACCCGCTCCGGCCTCCAGCCTCGCCACTTCCTTCTTGGTGCTCCCTGTCTTCTTCCCTTGGGCCTGCTTCCTTCTCTTCCCCATCCCCCGGCCGTTTTTCCCCCCTTTTTTCCCTCCCCCTCCCAGCTCCTTCTTTTTACCCATGAAGCCTGTTTCCCTGTTTCTAAGGCCACGTGCTTTCTGGTTTGACTTGCTCTGTCATCTTCTCTCCTTCCTGTCTGTCTTTTCTCTCACATGAGACTTAGTATAGTATGTTGTCCTGCATTATGGCTGTGAGAAAGGAAGGACTCACCTTTCCAATTTTTTCCCCTTTCTTCTTCTGTATGTTTTCTGTGTCTGTTTCCCAGCCTGCCTCTGCACCCTGTTAACAACCTCAGCTGCAACGTTTCAAAGACTCTGTAACATTGCTTTCGGTCTTTGCAGAACTTGTTACTATATTCTGGTAGCTATTACCATATTTCTTTTTTTTTGCCCTGGGCGATCCCTGTTGTCCCTGCCTTTCCCTAGTTTTAAAAATTTATTTTGAGGGGCAGCCAGGAGACAAGGAGGGTTTAGGATTGGAAGAGAGGGGTGCGTAGGAGAGACTTAGCTGTCATGTGATTTCTATCTCTGCCTGCCTTTCCTTGAATGTCATTTGGCTGATGTTTCCTGGTAGATGAAGAGGCTTCCTGTTGTGGTTCTGTAGGGGGAGGGTGCTGTTTGGAATGGCTAATGCTGGATTTGTTTGGCTTAGTGGAGGCTGGTTGGTTGGTTTCCAGCTCAGTTCAGGAGCTGGCATGTTCCCTCTGTGTGATTGTTTTGTTTCTGTCAGTGGGTTGACCTTTTGTGTGAGAGCAGAGGAAGCGACATTTCTGCTGCTTACATTGTAAAAAAGGAAGTCATCATAACTTTTCCTTTTTGTTAGCAGAAATAAGGAGTACGATGGTAGTTTTTCTGTACCAACTCCTAAGCAAGTCATATGAACTCCGTGACAGGCTTTTTGGCTACTTACAGGTGGTGGACAAATTGGAGGAGACAGAAAATCCTAAATCCAATCCATTAATCTGAATGCCTAGTGTGTGTGAAAATGCTACTAATGTGTGTCTCATGCTTGGTCTTAAATTGTGCTGAAGATGATGTAATATAGTAGTTGGTTGTTCCAAGTATATGCTCCCTTTGTAAATTGACAAATGGTGAGAAATAGTAATAATTTAAGGCGATACACAAAATAATTGAATTATTTTTGTTAACATTGGATTGAACACAGAGGGGAGCTGGCAGGATCTCTGGAATTAATCTGGTTTTGAATTGGTTTTCTGTCGTCTTAAGAGCTGAGTAATGTTAACCTGCAGGTTGACTGCTCTTGTGGAATCTTAGGATCATGAAGAAGAACACTAAAACATGAATACTTCTAGAAGTCATACCTGAAACAGGTATTCCTTTTGCATTATCTTGGACATCTTACTTTGTATCTAGAGCCCTGCTGATATTTTCAGTGAAAGAATTGGATGATATCAGCAGTTGGAGCTGAAGTAGCAGGAACAAAAGTTGGTTATAGAAAGTGTTCCTAGTGTAGAGAGACACACTTCAGTAGGTACAAGAAAATGAACTTCTGTTTTTTAAAGTCATATCCAAGCCTGAACTGGAATCTGTCAGGAAGTATGCAAAGTACTGCTTCGTATAAATCCAGAAGCTGTTAGAGAGATCTTAAGAAAAGAAGAACTCTGTGTTTTTATTTATTCTGCCCTTGATACTTTACATTTTGGATTTTATATGGTATGTGAGGTGGTAGAGGAGGCATGTCCACTCTTTTTGTGGCCTCTCTGTAGTAAATGTAGTAGTGGTCAAAACTGATGCTCTGTATTTGAAGTACAAACAGCAGTGTTACCTGTAAAGCTTTAGTAACTGCTTTGGTTTTGTTATTATAATTATTCTTAGGTCAGAGGAAACTTTTCAGTTGTGAAGTAATTGGCAAGTTGTGAAGGACAAGATCTCTTCATGTATTTAAAGAAGCTTTGCATAGTAGTGGAAGTATACACAAAACTCTGTAAATGGTATCATGGTCTATCAGAGTTCAAACCTGTGATGGACTCTTCTAGGTACTGGGTATACTCTGTTACCCTGGCAGATATAGAAGTACTTCAACTTTGGTCTTTGCCCAACTCTTGTTGCCTTTGGATCAGCCCTATCTCTGAGTAGCATTTTATACTTGTTTCCTATTCTGCGCTGTCACTTGCTAACCTAAGTGTATGATGGTACATTTAAAATCTCCCTCTTAATATATAAAGAGAAATTCAGAGTCCCTCCCCCCCTCCCGTGGTTAATATAGATGCAATGAAAACAAGATTTTTTTTTTCTCATGTTAAAGAATTTTATTGTACAGTAGAAAGGGCTTATCAGAATAGTTTGGCCTGTAGGTACTTGAATAAAGTATTTGAAAATCTGACAACTGATCTTAATATGACTACATGTATGTATATAATAGGAAATGATTTCATTGACTTTCCTTCATAGAAATGAAGGTGTATTAGCCAGATGTTATTATATTACTACTACATTACTATTTTTCATCTCCAAGCTATCACAAAATCAATATATTTGTATAGAATAACTACAAGTTACTAATTTAATCTCAACTTTCTTCATAACTTTAAATTAATCATATTTTTTTTCTACTTACACTCTTAAACCCGATTTTTGTTTTTAACGTATGATTGTTGAGAATTGAGCCTGACTTACCTTGAATACTTTGGGATTATCTTTGAACAAAATGTTTGGCTCTTTGGTTCCCTGTTACTTGCTTCACCCATACAAATACTAGAGTACACTTACAGCACATGTGTTCTTGTATTTTCAATCTCTCTGAAACTCTCAAGGTTGCTTGATGAGTGCCTTTCAAGCATGAGCAGTATTGCCAAATGGCTAAACATTTTTTTTTCCTGTGGAATTTTGTAACAAACTCTTGGGGTTGCTTTTATATACTGTAAAAATATAGATGACTGTCTTGCAGATAAATCTACATGTCTGAAAATCTCTTTACTAAGGATTTATGTTGTTGCCTGGCTCAAGTTGCAACTAATCCAAGTCCTGGTTCTCAGTTCAGTTTGTATTTACAGCTCTGTGAATTTTCTGGGGTAAAAAAGTGAACTTTGTTCAGTTTACTATGGATTTTCTGCTTAAGACCAGTTAATTTATTTATAAGAGTAAGAAAACTGGATAGTAAGTGTATGAATAAATGTCTTAGGAAGAACTCAGGTTTGTAAGTTTTAATTTTCTCTTTAAAAAAACCTCATGATGACATCATCGTTAGCATCCATCATCTCACCTGTTTTGCAGGTAAATGAGTATCAAAAGAGGTCACATATGAAACATTGCTGCTTTTGAATGGTTATGTTAGTTTTCAAGCTAATGTTGTTTATTTTTTCATTTAACAAATTCGGCATAATTTTTAAAGCTAAGCTTGTACTTAGTTTCTTGTACTTCTGTGATAGGATTTCATGTGCAGTGTATACATATCGATTTGGCTTCCTTGACAATTAAAATTATGAGAGGTCAACTAATAGTAAGTTTCTTTTAGATAATTTTATTAGTATTGTAGTGCTATTTATGTTTGCTGAAATGTTTTGTCTTGTTCGAAACAGCTTGCTATGGAATTGTTCAAGTACCCACTGGACCATGGTTTTGCAGAAAGTGTGAATCTCAGGAAAGAGCAGCCAGAGTGGTATGTGTTTTGTTTATTAAGCAATGCTAGTTGTAATCTTTGTGTGGGTAACATTGACCCAAGTGTTACAGCGATAACAGAAGAGAGCTTTGCTTTCTGTTGTAATTCATCTAAATGCTGTTCAGAAAGACCATTTATCTTATTTTTTAAAAGTGGAAATATGTAACTGTCTCTGAAGTATTCTGACAGTGTCAGGGTGTGGGGTTTTCATTTTTTAGGTGGTGGGGTTTTTTATTTGTTTGCTTGTTCATGTTTTATCCTTTTTTTTGGTCCACGGTGTAGGTTTTTGTTAATTTTGTATGTTTAACACTTACATAGTTAGCTACAGGAAGTAAATAAAATCTGTGTCCAATTTTCTTTTACAGCAACCTTAGGTTGCCAGTTAAAAACTTCAGTCTAGGAACACTCCCAATAAGTAATGTTGTTAGTTTCAAAAACTAATGCTTACTTGGAGTGTGATACTTAGAATTGAAGAAGTATTTTCTTTCTGGTTTTCTAATTATTTTATGGTAAATATTGGGTATTCCGATAATGCTTTTCTTTTTTTTTTTATCATGGTTACATTAGGTTTTGTTTTGCTCAGACTTGTATGTGTATTAGATGAAATTGGGTGATGTTAGGCATTTTTAGAAGAATTGAGAATCCCATTTCTTCCTGCTTGGCACTTCTTAGTTTGTCTTCCAGCAAAAGATAAACTAACGGAAGTGAGGACATTTAGAAAGACTCAGCTGCTCCTTTGCCCCTGAAAAAAAATTCATTGTCAGAGAAGGTGGTGCAGCATCTTAGAGCAGTGTGTAAACTGTTTCTAACTTTAAAAACAAATGAGGAGTCAGAGACCAAATTTTTAGTTTCTGTCTGTGACTATCAGTGTGTTTACATGACCTGTTTGCTATACCGATTTCCTTTTCTAATAGAAAGTGCTATAGACATGGTGACAAGACTTACTGCTGAATGAATTTTTGGCTCAGGTCTAAAGAATCTTGTTCCTCTGTTTTTTCCCACTTTGTGCTGCCAACATATTCATAATGCCCAGGGTAATCCCTGGTAATGCCTTAGTTCTTCCAAAGCAGACCTGTTACTGGGAGCAGGAAGGGATTGATTTCTGTATGCTCTTCAAGTATTTGTCAATTGAAAATCAGAACCCTTTCTAAAGAAAGGCTGTTTCTTTTCCTGTGAGACCATCAGCTGTGTAGTTTTAAGAGTAGCATTTTTTACAGTTCCTGAGTTTCATATATACAGGTTGATAACAAAGTTAAAAATACAGAGGAGAGAGAAAGACAGCTGGTGACTACAAGAGGATGATAGGGAATCCTTGTGGTTTGGTTGGTATATAGCTAATCCTGGCTTCTTGTGGCAAGAGGAGTGAAAAAGAACTGTCCAGAGTTCTATAATAAACAGTATCTCACTGCATTATGAAAATTTCTCGAGTTTACCAAGAGAATAGCTTTGATAGACTCGTTTACTTTGCTGTTTGAACTGAAGAAGGAGCAGTGATAACTGAATTTTCTGCCTGGTGTATTTTTGTTTCTACCAAACAGTGTCTGTTCAGGTCAGTAGTTTGATTACTGATTCTGTTTTGGAAAAAGAAATCCCATTTGTAATGTAGTGTAGATTTAAGTGTTTCTCAGGTGAAACTGATTGCATGTGAGATATGACAGCTGAAGTTCTACCAAGTATTTGCATATTAGCGAGTTAGAAACATGGTGGCTGCATCTGTGGTGTCTTGCCATTCAGAAACTAAACTCAAGCCCTGACCACATTATGGAAACCAGAGCTTTGCAGTAAGCAGTTTACCAGACCCAGAAGTTTTAACACACTTGCTTACAAAAGTAAACATCCTATCATCACTGTGTGAAACTGAAGCTTAGTTTTTCTCTTGGCCTTTTTGCCTATAAACAAAACCAGAATTAAACTAACCATATTACATTGACAATGCATCTGCTTGCTTACTTTTAATCTTTTAAACGACCTCAGTATTGCGCTCAAGGCATATTTTCCATGCTGATGCTGTCTGTGTTGTGTGTTTTTGGGGTGTGTTTCTTGGTTGATCATCTTCTTTGAGCTTCAGTTGCTGGGCAAATAAATCAATTCTGATAAACAACAGCAGTTAATTACTCACACTGAAGTTAGTCTTGCTTTAACCATGAAAAGAGATGGACTAACTCAGGAGCACATAACGTAAGTTGGTGGGTCACCAAAGAAGTTCACTTAACAGCAGACTAGGACAGGTGGATTCCCACGTAGTTTCACGTGTTATGCACCAGTGTGTACTGTGTTCCCTTTCTTTTGTGTGCTGCCTCTAGGCTGGTGCATGCTGGGTGGGAACCAAAGTGGTGGCTGGTTAGCTTCTCTGTTTTTGTTGGTGAGCTGGGAGCCAGCGTCTTGGCTGCTGAATGCTCAGTTACTAGTTGGAAAGCACTGCTCCATGCTGCACAAGTCATTCTGAATTTTGGCTCTAGGAGAGTTACGTTTTTCTCTGTGTGTGAGAGAAAGTGTGACTTTTCATAAAACTGAGCTGTTTGGATAATGGATATATTGAGGTGGCTGGTAATGATACTTAGTTTTTAATCATACTTATGTAGTACATAATCGAAGATCGTAATCCCAGTACTCACTCTTTACGTCACTGTATAAGTTTTTAACTATTGCTTGAAAAATCTTAGTTTTCTCTAAATCAGCTCATTTATCTTAACTGACCTATGGTGAGCTTGAAATTCAAGTCTCTTCAAGATGTGTGGTGACTGCCCCCAGCTTTGCCTGTGTCAGCACCAGCTGTTATTACCGTGCGTAGTGGGCCCTTTTGGTGTCTTCAGATGTACCTGAACTTGTGAGTCAAAAAGCAGGGCAAATACATATTGATGTAGAAAGAAATAATTTTGAGGTCTGCGTGAGGTTGTTCATCTATGGACTATTACATAAGGAACTTTGGGTCCTGTCTTAAGAAATTGGATGGTGCATGTATGTTGTCTAAGGGCTGATAGTTCTGGTACCCAAAGAAAGACTGGAGAACTAAGTTTGGGGTTTGTAGCACAACTGTTGTTCAAAAAGACTTTTTCCCCGCCATAATAATCCTTTTGGGTGTCAAACATCTTCCTTGATGATCTTATGTTAAGAATAATTTAAATATAGTATATTGTGGTGTAAAAATAGACAATGTGTTTATGGTTTAGTACAAACTATTACTATTCATACTCATCATGAAGGAGCTGCAGTAATCTGTGTGATAGAGATACCAGGCAGGAGTTCACCATTTGTACAGGTAGCTTGTTCAGGCTTGTTAGCTATGTGTAGGTCCTGTTCTTTTGAGTCCAACTTGATTCAGAGAGACCAGGACATCTCTGTACTGAGCTTAAGTGTTAAGAATTCCAGGAAGTTTTACTACCTCAAAGTGTAGCTCAGATGCTAAATGTGAGGTTGGATTGCTTGCGCTGCAGGTGAATCATTATGCTCTTTGATCTGTTTCATTGGAATATAAATATTGTAAGCCTGTCCTTGCATCTGGAAGAATCAGTTTGGACTTGGTACAAATTACTCTAATGTCATAGTGGTATTTTTTTCACTTGGTATTTCTGTGTTTTTTTTTTTTTGGTGGAGTGGCTTATGAAGTTAAATGTAGTTGTGGTTCAGAACTGATTCAGCACATTTGTAGGACACTACAGCTTGTCTAATAAGCCACCTGGATTTTAGTCCTGGGCAGTGTGCTGAGGGGGCTGTGACTCTGTAGAGCTAGCCACATAAGACTTGAGATAGCATCCATCTGTATTTTAGCTCGGGCTGGCATAACTGGAGTCTCTGTGCTTGCACTTGTGTTTCTTGGGACTTGGTGTGGAGACAAAAGGACTGTCACTGCAGGGCCATTTAGACCATACAGTACTCAGTACTTAAGGGTTCAGAGCAGTAGAAATGCAGCTATACTATTTACCCAGTTCAGGTATGCTGTATGCTCATAGCAATAGGTTTCTGCTGGTTATCCTACGAGACCTGAGCTGCACCTGCATCTGCTGCACAGATGATCCAGAATCTGAACACTTGAATTTTAATATTTTTTAAAAAATTGTTAATATAACAAGAGTTGGAGCTCTCTCCAAATTCTATTTTTAAAAAAATGTTTCATCACATTGATCTACAAATTTTCTTTGTAGAGTTGCTCATAAGAGTTGTTTGATATATCCATGCTTTCGCACTTCACCCCAGCATTTATGTAGTGTAAAATAAGCATAGGTGCAGTATTATTTGCCTTTTGCCTAAACAGAAAAAGGCAAAGAAGGAGGAACTAGGAATGCAGCTTTTTGATATGCGGACACGTTTGTGATAAGAGCTCTGACACTTCTGGCTCAGCAGGCTGCCTGCAGGGGAGTGGGATCTGTACTTATTAACACCTGTATCTGTAAACTAGAATGAGTGTTGATAAATATGGTCACAGTACAGGTGAACTAAACTTTATTTTAGAAGAAAACTTGCTGGTTTTTTTTTTCTTCAATTTGAGTACTGTACATCAGTATAATATACTAATATACTGTGCAGTCTCTTTGAAGATACCCCTTGAAATAATTCTTAAAAAATGTTGAAATTAATTTTTCTTTAATGTGTATCCATATTTTTCCTAAAAGTACTCTTTATGTAAGAATATTAGTACAGCTACTTTAAGAATATCATAACAAATATTACTAGAAGAATTGCTTTAGTTTTGAGTGCACTACAGAAAAATTGATCTGTTGCTTTTGTTATTTGTCTGGCTTTTATGAATGACGGCAGTTTAGAAGGCATTAAATATTAGTTTGTAGCTGCATATCTTGAATAAAAAGTCTGCCTAAGGATATTTAGGTAGAACATATTCTATTGTGTTTGTGTGACAAGATTTTGTTAATAAGGGGACTACAGGAGAGATTTATCTCAAAAGCTTCCAGAAACTGGTAACTAGTGAGTTATCTCTCCCTGTCTTTATGTTTACCTAGGAGCCTTTTCTTCAATTTCTGTGCCCTGTCCAGCTGAGGAAGGGA